TCTTATTGCTCCTGCTTTAAACTCCATATCAAAAATATTTTTCGAAAAAAAATAATATTGGATCACAATTTCGCAAACAATACTACCAACTGGCGGGATCCACAAACGAAAAAATTTCATATAATGTAAAAAAATTCATTGATGCATTTGATAAATTTGGCATCAACTTCAACGAAAATCAAGTGATTTTTAATCTTGTGTCCAAAACCATCTTGCCAAAACTAATATTTCTACATCTGCGATAACCCGTCCAATATCATTGCAAAAGAAGTAGCAGATGAATTAGTTCATCATGGAAAGATCGAAGAAGAACTCTACCGTTCTTTTGTTACTGAAAGGTTAAAAGGAGTCATACCTATATGGTCGCCAATGAAGATGAGAAATCTGAAAACAATCCAAAATCAAGCCAAAGTTTCAAAAATAAAGATAGATAATAAAGTAATTCAACTAAAAGAAGAGTGCACCTTTTTATCTCGTTTTCTACTTAATGCAAGAAAATGCTCAGAGCTTGATTTGGAAAAAAGCATTGATAGCTATGAGTTTTCAGTTGTACCAAAATCAATGTTCACTCAAGATGGTCACCCATTGATCACCTCTGATAAAGAAAAAATTCTGCATGAAGTTGAAGACTTGTCAAAAAGATTAAAGATTTTGAAACAAGAACAAGAAATCTCAGTAAATACATCAACTATCATTATTGATGGCATAGTCTTGGTCAATAAAATTCATAAAGATAACAGTATTAAAACTTGGTAGGTAACACTTATGTTATTTATTGTATTGATCACTGTAATAACTGTGTATATATAACTGATAAATAAACTGACATATATATATATATATATATATATATATATATATATATATATATATATATATATATATATATATATATATATATATATATATATATATATATATATATATATATATATATATCTTATGCAGCATAAATACTCACATTTTTTTAATTATTCAGGGTTTCGCTGCAATATTTATTAGCATAATTAGAAAAGTATCTCAAAACTGCGAAGAGATAATTTAGGTTTTTGACAGATACATTGAACATTCATTAAAGTCTAGAAGAAAAAAAAACGCACCTCTGACAATGAAATCAAATATAAAGTAGCTGATGACTCTATAATTTGTAATAATTCGCTAAATCAGTTATTTGGGCACATTGAAATAAAGCAAGCTCTTACCAAATACCTTGCTGAATATACAAAAAATAATATAGGTAGTGCAATTCGCTTCATTGTAACATATTCAAAAACAACAGAAGCAAATATGGAACATCTATCAGCAGAAATGATGAATCATGATTACGAAGAGGCTGATACTCTGTTAATTCTGCATGCCATTGACGTTGCAAAAGTAAACCTATAAAAAAATATATTGTGCATTTACATGATACTGACGTTTTTCTACTTTTAGTTTATTTTTATCAAGTTTTGCCTCGTGTCACAATTTTCTGAACTGGTAGAGGGGATAAGGAACGAGACATCTCGATTCAAAAATGTTACAAAGCAATTGGTTCTAAACAAGCACAAGCTATTTTAGGTATTTTTGCTTATATATTTTTTTTTTCAATGAAAGTAAGGGTCTTCGTGAAATTTTTAATTTCTTCAGGTTTTCAAGTTATTACTGGCTGTGATTAAATTGGACGCTTTTCTGGAATCACTAAAAAATCATGGTGGAAAGAATTTATAAAAGCTGACGATGGAACCCTAGCTGCTCTATCAAATCTTGGTCAATCAGAAGTTTTACCTGATTTGTTTACAATAAATAACATTGTTCTTTTTGTTGTTAGAGTTTACGATGATAAAAAACGGACAGAAGATGTTAATACTCTTTCAAAACTTTGCTGGTTTCTTTTCTCTAAATTTCAGTATGACGCTGCACAACAATGAATGTCCTTAAGTACCATATATTCCGTAGTCACTTTGTATGTTTAGTGCTTAAACGCTCTACCATGCCTGTACAGTATCTACCATCGCCTGTGAAGTATGGTTGGGAACTAAACAATGGATCTTTTAACCCCATAATGACTGATAACCTACCAGCCCTTATAGCACTTATCGTGTTGAGTGTCTGTCGTTGTAAAGGAGACTAATAAAAGGTGCAAATGTTTGAAAAAAAAACTTGTCTGTACTGATATGTCCAAGTGTAAAGGATGTAAAAATAATAATATAGACGACCAAAAGGAAAAAAATGACTATGAATGTAGAGATATATAAGACGCAATTTAATTTATTCGTATTATTAAATACCAGCTTGTAAGCACGATAATTTTAACATTTATTACCAAAATTTAGAAGTTTTTTGAGTTTAAGAATAAAATCTTAGAATATTTGAATCTTTTTATTCAATAAATGTCTTTAATTTCATTTATATTAAAAGATTAATTGACATAATACTGTCAATTAAATATTTTCCGGGGTTTTTTTTGTCTTCATTAAACGTTTTATATTGTTAATACTATTTTGGTTCACATATGATATTGTTTGTATGTCTAAACAATGCCAATATTAATATGTATACTAGCTCAATTATTTCAGTTTTACTTAATTTATCTTTTATTTAGTGTTGATTTTTGTAAATGATCCCCGGTTTAGTAACTTACAAGTAACGTCTTATATCTTATGAAGTAAATTTTCAACATATTTTTTTAATATGATTTTGAAAGCAAATTTAATGCTCTTTTTAACGGTATAAAATATTTTAAAAATGAAGATTAAATTTTTTTTTTTGCTTTGGGGCCTATTTCGTCATACCACGTGATACAAACCATAAATATTAAGTGACATCTTTTACTTTTTAAATCCTTTTCATACAAGGATCTCATATCAACAAAAAGTTTGTTTGTAACACGTATGTGCACACGAAGAGTTCTTTTAAGACATAGTAACCTACACTGTGTTTATATTCTTTTTACAGAACAAAATTATCAGTAAGACTTCAAAAGTTATAAAAGTTTTAGTAAGCCGTATGTTCATCTTGAAACTGCCGTGAAGACAATTAGCCGGATAACGGAATAAACTACAATACTATTAAGCACTATGATTACATCTGGGCCTCATTATATGGGCCACATATAACTTTCGTGTCAGATACGTTTACCTTTTTTGTCATAAAGACAACGGTCTATATGTCTATATATATTAAATAAATGGTACTTGGAAACTTAAATCTTTGTTTTAGTCACAAAAAAGCGCTGGTAAAGTAATTAAATTGAGTTTTTTTTTCTTGCAACAAGTAATATTTTTTATTTTTGTTTAACTTTTTAAGAGTAAATAATTTTTATTTTTTACTGAGCCGCATTTTTAAGAAATAATGAATAAAACAATTTAACATATTTTAACAGATTTAAACAAATGAAGAGAAAAGAAAGAAATTAATTTATGTTAAATTATAATAAAAAATGTAATATTAAATTTACTTATTAAAGGTTTTTTAAATTTTTTGCATATTTTTACATTTTTTACATTTCACATTTTTCACATTTTTTACATATTTACGTATTAAAGGAAAAAATTTGAAACAAAATAGACATTCCACAATATGTACATTTACAAAATAACACTTCTAGATTAGTGTTTCTTAATTAGTAGATTAAACTTGTTTTGCGGTAATTTGTTTTATTGCGGTAGTTTAAGAAAATTGATATCCGTAAATAAATAAAAAAAAATAAAGATAATTCTATGACGTCAAAATCACGACGAGCTAAACCGTTTTTATTTATTATTTTTATTTACTAAACCGTTTTTATTTAAAACAAGACCTGCGATTGCATTATTACTAACTACACGAGCGTCAAAATTTTAGGTGTTATTATAAAAACAGACATCACTAATTATTTTCAGTGATGTCTGTTTTCAAAAATATCAAATTCAATCTCATTTGTGTAAATAAATCAACAAAAAATGAATTGCTACTATCGCCAACTCGATGATTAAAAGTAAGCGTACAAACATAAAGAATATACTAGCATGTTAGAAAATAGTTTTAAGTTTAAAATGATAAAAATATATATATAAATAAATATAAAAAAATGCCATGATAATAATTATTGTAAAGGTAACTTTACAATAATTATTATCATGGCGTTTTTTTATATTTATTTATATATATATTTTTATCATTTTTAACTTAAAATTATCTTTAAGATATTTTAATTTTTAAGATTTTAAATCTTTAAGATATTTTATTTTTAACTCCTTGACTTTTTTTTTATCTTTTTATTTATATCTTTTTCTTATCTAGTCATATTTTTGTTGTTGTTACCTAGGTAACAATTTTTGTTGTTGCTACCTAGGTAACAACAACAAAAATATGACTAGATAAGAAAAAGATATAAATAAAAAGATAAAAAAAAGTCAAGGAGTTAAAAATTAAAATATCTTAAAGAACTTCAAAATTTGTTTAAAACAAATTATATATATATATATATATATATATATATATATATATATATATATATATATATATATATATATATATATATATATATATATATATATATATATATATATATATATATATATATATATATATATATATATATTAACAAGCAAATTTAAAGAATATAATTTGTTAGACTATTTTTAACAATTTTTTTATTTTTTGTTAATGCTGTGTATGTTGTATTGCAAACTAGTTTACCTTTAAAAGCGAATAATATACTTTTATAAGTCTCCATTAACTTACGAAAACCTAAAACGCTATAAAAGTTTTTATTTTTGTTTCAAGATTTCCGTAAAAACAGGGGTGGCTATGATGTTAATAACATTAATACAAGTATATTATTTATTAACACTACTATATTTGTACTTTTTTTTTTAACTAAGTAAACAAAATCATAGTTTTAAACATTTAAAGAAAAACACATTGTTATTATACGTCATCCAAATAATTTCCGGAGGTTAAAAATCAAGTAATGTTATACGGTTTATTGTATTTTAAAATAAAAATTTCGCTAACTCTGAGTTTGTTCGGCAAACTTAGAGTTAGCGAAATCGTGTATTAACGTTGAAATTTTCAAGGTTTTTTTTAACGTTGAACTTACGTTGAAATAACGTTGAAACTTAGATCGTTATTTTTCAACCATATATCAACCAACTTGCAACGTTGAAATAACGTTTTATGCTTGCTGGGTTAGTTTGTAAGCTTGTTACTTTTATCAGATTTGAATGTTAACCATTCATTTTTTTGTTTAATACTTTTAATTTGTTTGCTGATGTTAAGTTTAACGATTTTGTTGCGCTAGATACACCATCGAAAGGGTGCATCAGGCGCAACGAAATCGATAAACTTAACTTTGGTTCATTTTGTAAAAGCTGATGGTTTCTTTTCTTTTTTTACTTTTCTTAATTTAAAATCAATTAGCCTTTCTGCTGGCGTCGTTTCCAGGTTAAAGTAAATATTTGCATAGTTGTCGTCATTTAGTAATTTCATTGACGCGAGTAGAACTTTATCGCGTTCACAGTTTTCAGGAAGTACAACATTAATTAGAGGTAAATTATTTTATTCTTTTTTTTTAGTCAAATCAATTTAATCGCTTTTGCTAATATAATCAAATATTTCATTGACCATTAATTTATCATCATTAATTATATATGATTTATCAATTTTACTCGATTCAGGAATTCCAAAAATCATGATATTGTTTTCTTACTTTTTTTATTTTCTTGTTTTGATATTACTGAATTTGTGATTCAGTTTATAACAGGTGATTTTTCCGTGGATGTGGATCACGTGATGTGGTTTTCGTTGATAATTTCGACCAATAGTTAGCAGATTAGTTTAGTACATAGTTGTTAACAAGGCCAAAGGTATCAAAACCAAGGCTAAGGCCACGCGTTACATAGCTAAGGCCAAAACAATCAAGGCCAACATAAGGCAAGGCCAAGGTCAAGGCCAAGGCCAAGGACTAACAACTCTGGTTTAGTGTTGGTTGTTTAGCTTGAAGGAACTTTTTCTTCTAATTAATTTTTTTATAGTTTCTTTATGTTCTCATACTTTATCAGATAATAATGAACAGCTTTTTCTTGTTTCAACATATCGTTGATTTTCAAACTATCGTTAATAATGTTTAAATTGTGATTATATGTAGTTTTAGCACGTTACATAGATATCAGAGGTCCCAGCGTTTTTTTTTTTAACTTTTTTAATATATAAATTTTTTTTTTCTCAGTTAATTTATATATTAATATTTAATATGAATTAAAGTTAAATTTAAGCATAACAAATTTAATTCTTACGTAAATAAACACGTAATAAACACATCCTATTGAAAGCGGAAGTTGATTGGAATATTACAGTGTGTTTTATTGCACAAGAGCAGTGCGTTATACATTGTAATACAGTTTATCAATTTTTCCTTATAAAATTAACCCTAGTTGTAGTCATTTTGATTTACTACGTAAGTAGAGAAAATGTTTATTAAATTTTTGTTTGATTTTATACGAAACAAATTTTAACAATTACCACTACAAACTTATAGCAAATTTTTAAGTTTATTTTGTAAACTCGAAAGTTTTCAGCTTCCCAATCTTTTAGAAAATGAAATTTTAAAAATTCTGTCTAAATTGAATCGATGATCATCTCATTCATGATGGTTGTTAGCAAATATTTATATAATCTTTTTTTTGTTGTTAATATAATGCACATTGTCACATTTTGTAAAGTTAGTTTTAATTTCTTTTCTTATGAACTTTCTTTTCTGGCTTGAATTTATGTAAAATGTGAAAAATAAATCTATATTATAGAAAGAATTTTTTGAAATTAAAAATTATTCCCACAATTTTTTAAAACAATTTCGGTTTTTTTGGTAGATTAGTGAAACATCTCTTTTCAAAGTCATGTTTATTCATCGGGGTTTATCGCTGTACAAAACTTTAGTTGAAAACAGTTATGTATTTTTTTTATAGGTGGATCTAGGATTAAATTCTTCCTTGGAAAAAAATTTTGTGTAACTATTATCTACCGCCCAGACAGCTTTGCAACTCCTTTCCCTTTCATGCACAATACTCTCAGGGGCCAAAGAAACGCCCCTTACCAATATATCAATTTTGATTTTTTTTCCTTACCTGCCCGGATTTATCAAAAATATTTATCAAAAATTCTTACTTCACTTAATTTATTATGGCCCCCTCTTTGTTTACTTTGCACACGAGAACTTTATTATTGAGTCAAAATTTTTTTTTCTTATGCATGTTTGAAATCTTTACTTAACTTTGGTCATTATCCTTCCTGTAAAAAATATACATAAATTTAAATTTAATTGAAACTATACCTATATTTTATTCTTGAAATTCACAATGTACACTACTAAAAGTTAACAATTTTAATATCCAAAATTAATTTTAAAATGATTCTTATAATCTGAATAATACTCTCTGAACACAAATATTACAGTCAATTAGGGTCTCGGGAACAAATTTGAAAATTTTTATTCATTTTATTCATCAACTTAATTCAGAATATACGCTTATGCTCCACCTCCACAATATAAAAGCGTATCTGTCTGGAAGGTACTCGTCTAAAGCACATGAACCATAAAATTCTATTGAGGTAAGAGTCTGTAAAACATTAACTAAAAATACTTTTGAACTATAGATTAGAATGCTAAGCTATATCTAGTGAAAAATAAATGCTTGTCTCACATGTGTTTCATGTGGGATCCCATGAATCCCACACGGAGCCCATATGGAATCTATGTAGGAAAATTTATAATAAATTCAAATAATACAAACAAACCTTTTACAAACAAACCTTACAATCAAAAAAGTTTTTTTTAAAATTAAATAAGATAATTTGCAGGTAACATATGAATACCGGAAGCAATAAAAAAACCTAATTTTTAGACGGTGATTAAAACAGCTAAATTTTGGCACCAACCATCAACTGTATAATTAAAATAACATACGGTCAATTAATAAGAAGTAACAGTAAAAACTAACAGTTATTGTTATGCCAATAAGTGCTAGTTATTATAACTAGCACTTATTGGCATCAAGAACTTTGCGTTACAAGGCATCAAGAACTTTGCAATTCTAAATGCTTAATTCTTATTCAATTTATCGACTTGTTTATAAATTTTTTTCAAGTTGCACAAATAATTTCCAGACTTTTTATACCTAGATCCAGATCAGATTAGGTGGATTGACCACTTACTACTCTTAGCATTTTTTAACTTTCTTTAATTAGAGTCATTTAAATCCACATCTAGTGCCGAGATTAGATTAGGTGAAATTTATTTTGTCTAATGTATGATAAAACCATTTGCCTAATCATATTTCTCGCGCTTGTTTTATGTCATACTCCCGGGCTTATCGTAATTAAGTTACCTCGTCAGCAACTCCGTAACCGTGAATAATAAAAAGTGCCCGGAATTTTATTACATATTTAGAGTAAACTAAATATTTCATCTAAGACGGTAACCTAATAGGCTGTACCTTTGATCCGACCCTGTTTTTAGTCCAAGAAGTATCAAGATACTGGGTATCTACCGCAGTATATACGGTAGCTTGAGTAAATATATTAGGGGTGTTCAGAAAAAAAAATTTGGAATTTGAACAACCAAACCGTCTAGATTTGAAGCAAATATGTTTAAACTTAATAACAAAAAATTTCAAAAACCGATTACTTTAAGTTTCTTGAGGGCAAGGCTAGCATAAATATTTATAATCAATTTTTTTTTTAGGGTTTAGATAAAATATCTGTATTTTGGTTAAAAAAGTATGATTTTTGTCTTTCTCAAAAAACAGTATAATTTACATTTTAAATCGGCTAAAAAACGTTTATTACGTGTTGTGGCGTTGTTTTTATAACCTTTTCAACAATTAAATTCAAATTTTGTTATTTAGATTCATAATACAGTTTGCAAATGTATATATTCAAATTAAGAATAGAATTACTCATTTTATGTATGTTTAATACCATTACCAAACAAAAGTATATGTTCTTAAATTATAAGTACAATATTTGAAATTTTATAAGAAGCAATATGAAAGACAAGTTAAGATTTGAAGAACATTATTAGGACCGACAAAAAAAGATCTGACAAGGATAAGCTCGAAGACTTGATGTTTTTGGAAGATTAGGAAGGAGAAAGAAAGTTTATTCTTGGGACAGAAGATAAGAAATTTAGTAGAAAGATAAAATTTAAAAATTAAAAGTATTAAGTAATATTTAATGTTATTTTATGCTTGTAGACAGCAGAGAGTAACAGAAAGAAAAATAGAATGTGCGATCAACAAAATCTAATTATGAAAACTCAATTCTGGTTTGAGTTCTTATTCATCTTATGATTCTAATTTTGAACTTTGTAACTATTATTAAAAAGAATCACCTCAATCTAACTGTACAGTAGCTGCAGAATTTCCAATAGATGTGCATGCCGGGAACGTTGCCTTAATGGCTACTTTAAGTGATGTTTCGCCAAATGTTTTGACGAAACATCATCAAACAAAATGCAAAAAGTGACAAGTTCCAATTTTAACTGAAGCTGGTGTTTAACTTACAGATATACATTGCAGTAAATCTACAGCCTTTAGAAAAATGAAATTAGCAAATGAAAATATGTCAACCTTAGCAAAAGAGGATATAAAAAATGCAACAGAAGCTTCTCCTTATCCATGTGTTATACAGTTTGATGGAAAACTCTTTATGAAATTAAAGTTCTTGTGAGCATTGAAGGTGAGACGCATCTACTAGGTGTTCCTCCTTTAACTTCCTCTTCTGTTGAGGATCAATATACAAATATTATGAACCTACTAAAGGAAATATAAACTTGAATCAAAAGTAGGAGGTCTTTGTTTTGGTACGACTGCAAGTAATACCGGGATCAAACATGGTTCAATCATAAAGATATCCAACAATTTAAATAAATATCTTTTAAAATTAGCATGGAGGCATCACATAACAGAATTAAGAATGGTGCATTTCTGAAAACATACAACAAACGAGTTGACTATAGGACCAGAAAACTTATTGTTTCAAAAAATTAAGAGCCTATTTTAGTTTTTTAATTAACATCCTAATTTTAGTTATGCGCCAAGTGATTTGTACAAGTTTAACTGGAAGGAATTGAGTGCTAGTATAAATGAAAAGGCTGCTGAACCCTTCGGGCATTTGTTTTGCTAAAGTTACGTTTTAAATGTATTTTAAATGTCTTTTAAACGTCTTTTAAATGTTCTTTACGTAAGAATCTTTAGAAGACGTTTAAAAGACATTTAAAATACATTTAGAACGTAACTTTTAAAAAAAAATGTCCGCTGGGAAGATTCTATGAACTTTTGCAAAGCATATATCGAAAGAAAGGGGATAGCAGGAGAAGATAAACGTAAAGACAGAAGAGAGCTGGCTGATTTAGTTGTGACTTATCTATCCACTAGACGATTGATCTTACAAATCCTACAAGAATCCTATAGGATGAGATGCACAAGTCCCTGCAGGACCTACAAGAATCGTTTGAAGGATCTTGTAGGATTTGAAGGAATTCTTATACGAT